TTCCCTGAAGTCTGACCCTTGACAGGTGCTTCGGTTTTCTCATCTGCAGAATGGGAGTAATAATAGTATCTACATTATTTTTTTGGTAGATCAAATGAAATGATCCAGGTTAGATGCTTAATCTGGCACAGAGTAAGCACCCAAACAAAAGTAATTAAAAGTCAGAAGAGAGTGGAGATATGAAGTAACTCACCTAAGAACACATAGTTAGTAAGTGAGGGAGCTCTCCAATTGTCATTTAGTCAGCAAAGCACTTAGCTGAAACTTTTCACTTGAAATGGGGGTTGGGGTGGAATGGAGTAGGACAGAGGATCATTCATTTATTTACACTAAACATACTGATGCTGCCAAGGGAGCATAATAGGCAGGGAGCAGAGTGGTCTAGCGGTGGGAATTGGACCATAAGGGCAAATGCCAAAGTAAATCCTGGACAACACACATACAGCTGGGTAGCTGCATGGAAACTTAACCAGGACTCTCAGAAAGCAACAGGGCTGCTTTGAACTGGTTAGAGAAGGTATCTTGTGGGGAGAACTTTTAGGCTAGGACTGAAATAACTTATTAAATTGTTTTAAATCACAGAATCATGTTTTAAGGTTTGAGAGAGGTCAAGCGATGATAAATTGGTCCTTTGTTATAAGCTCACTAAAGTTTTTAGTTAATTCCAGCTTTAAAAAATGTGATCATCTATAGTAGAGACTGTCAGCAAGAACCGACCATAGGCTTAGTAGCGTATGGCCAAGGAAGGAAAAAAAAAATCATAAGTACTCATTGTAAAACTTTTAGTTACTAATTTTTGGGAGATCTGGGGTGATTAAGGAAATGTTTTATAGGAGAACTGATGAAAGTTATGTCCATATACTCACTTGCCAGCAAGAAAAGTTTTATGGTTATATGAAGTTTTAAGTAGAAAACCAGTTTCTTTTTATTGTTACTGGAACTGTAAAGTGCTGTGTTGATAACATCATGATATCATCATGAACATGGGCAGATCTTTGATCTTTTCCTTTGAACATGGAATTTCATTTTTCAGAACTACTGTTCTACAATAAAGGTAGACTACATTGAGCAGAATGGATGCTCCTAAGACAGAATTTGTAAACTAATGTTTAAAATTCTGTTTATTTACTAATTATAGAAAACACAGAAAAGAACAACACAGGAAAGAATTTATGATCCAAAATTTCATGTTTCTTAATTAACTGTTTACATTTTAGGATTTTTTTCCCTTACGTTTTTCTATAACTTTAAAAGATGGTCAACACATACACAGAACTGAATGTGTGTTTCTCTATGTATATACATTGATTATTTGTATTTGTAATTAAAATAATGGTGTTCATTTTCTTGTATTGCCGCTTCATGGTAAGCATGTATTTATTTGTTGCATAGTATTTTAATTCTGTGAAATTTTTAAAAAAATCAGTTCCCAATAAGAACTTTCTTACTCTCATTACCTGTTTCTCTCAAAGGTAGAATGTGGGCTGGCTGGCTATTGGAGGGACTGCTTACTGAGAGTCTGGTTAATCCGGGTCTTCTGTGATTTCTCAACAAACTACTTGTCCGTCTTAGGACAAAGTTTGCTAAAATGTGTCTAAGAATGTACAATTTTGGTTTTGATGAGGAGAAGTTGAATTTGAAGATTTTTGAAGTAACAGTCATTGAGGTTTTAGTGCATCATACAATTACAAATTTGACCAAATGTAAGAACCAAAACTAAAATGCTAAAATCCCTTTGAAAAATCAGAAAAAAAAAATTAACAGTATTTTTTGGTAACATCTGCATTCCAAAATCTTTGTGACATACTAATGGAGATGTTTCAGATAAGTTAGTCAAAGATAATGTAACATTGAAATATGTTCCTCCTAGCTATCTAGAGCAAAATAAAATACATAAATTATTTTTAATTAGTGAAAGGACACATGAAAATTGTATCGTTATAATTTCTCATGTGGTGTGTTAGCATTACTAACATTATAACAAAAATACCTTATACTAAGTAATTTATAAACAATAGCAACTTATTGGTCACTTTCTGGCAGCTGAGAACTCTAAGATCAAGGTGCCAGCACATGTGGTATAATACACATTATACCATCTGTATTTTTAATTTGGGGAAATTATCACAAGATAATATAGCTATATTGGCCTGCTGTATGAAGTTACTGGATATTTATAGTTAAATATTAGCAGGTGTTTGCCAAAGAAAGCAATTTTGTTTTGTCTGGTGAGGGCCTGGTCTCTACTTCAAAGATGGAATCTCCTTGCTGTGTCTTCTCATGGTAGAATGGCAAAAAAGGGATTCAAACTATTGTTTATATGTCTATCTACTTACGTATTAGATAAATAATGGGCCTCTTTTATAGCCACAGGCACTAATCTAGTTTCAAGGACTGAGCCCTTATGACCCAATCCTCCCAAAGGCCCTACCTATTTATAAGTACTACCAAAATGGAGATAAAAGTTTCAACATGCATTAGGTGGAGAGGATGCAAACATTCAGATCAAAGCTGGTGGTTTTTGCATTGTTTGTCTTAAATTTTTATATACGTTCAACATGGTTGAAAGATGGTTTTTCTCGTTGGATATTTAAATGAAATTTCACCAGATTAGTAACCTCTATTAACTCTCCTATGCTGCTGATGGGACTAGAAATATGAACCCTTTCAAGCAAGGTTGGGCAAAATGCCTCACAAACCTTTAAATACACTTATATCAATTTGAAATCTATGGACTATTTCTAAAGAAAGAATTGCTCACACATATAAAGGTTAATACTCAAGAATATAGCTTGGACTGGGCGCAGTGTCGCATGCCTATAATCCCAGCAGCTCAGGAGGCTGAGAAAGTAGATCATGAGTTCAAAGTCAGCCTCAGCAACAGTGTGGGGCTAAGCAACTCAGTGAGACCCTGTCTCTAAATAAAATACAAAAGCAGGGCTGGGGATGTGGCTCAGTGATCTATTATCCTTAAGTTCAATCCCTAGTACCAAAAAAAAAAAACAAAAAAAAAGAATGTAGCTTTGTTTACAAAAGTGAAATCGTGGAAACAACCTTAATGCCCAACATTTAGGGATAAGTAAATAAAGTATAATATACTAATATAAGGAAATATTATGAAGCTATTAAAATTATACCATCTGTATTTTTAATTTGGGGAAATTATCACAAGATTATATAGCTATATTGGCCTACTGTATGAAGTTACGGGATATGTATAGTTAAATATTGGCAGGTGTTTGCCAAAGAAAGCAATTTTGTTTTGTCTTTATTAAAACTGAGTCCCACTTTCTTGTAATTGAAAGCCACGATAACCATTTGTCTCTTGAGACCACTCCTTGTTTGTTTAAGCATATACAATTATATTTTACCTACCATTTGCATGAAAGAGAAGCAAGTATCTAACTCATTTAAAAGTATCATTATACCATATAAAATATAAATTAGAAAATGGATTGAGATACGTTTCTAATTTAAAATTGTTATTTGGACTGCTCATCCTGATTCTGGATGTGATATTGGATTCCAGATTTTTCAGAACCTTTAAAAGCCAAAGACTTCAACTACATTCTGCTGTTAGAGCCACTTAACTCCCACAAGTACTTGGCTCAGCACTTGGGCCTACTGGGTCTCTGGCTATCCAGTAAATAAGCTGCAGCCTTGTTCCTTGGGAGGAATCTCACCATCCTTCCACCCAGAGGTATACTCCTGGCTTTAAACCCCAGTCTCCTTTTGATAGGCCCCTTCCTGGCTATGGCCATACCACTGTGAGGCTGAACTCTTGATTCTCCCCACCAATCATAGATAAGTGGGGGTCCTTGGAGCCTTTGCTCATCCCTCCCTTGGCAGAATCTCATTGATCTTTTAGATCAATGAGATCTTGTATGGGGAGCATTTCTGTCTTCCCTGTCTGTCCAATTTCACACACATGCCCCAAGGACTTTCCCCTTACTTGGCAGGTATGTTCTCACATCCATCCTGAGTTGGATTTCTGTCCAAACTCTGGGTTTCAGTCTTGCCATGGAGGTCTGTCTCATGCTCCACGCCTATTTGGTGGGGAGTGCCAGGGTGGGGGGACTGACCTGAAGTGACTGAATTGGAAAATCCAGTAAACAAACTCACATTAGTATAGTTTGGATTAGGAAACTATAAGAAAGAAGTAAACAAAAAAGGTAAGGAAAAAGTATTGAGACCCAAGCTTCCTTCCCTCTACCACATGCTTAATAAGAAAATGTAATTGTATCTTGAGACTAAAATATGGTCAGAGGAGGATCTGGAGTAGAATCAAAAGTGGCAGAAACTTGATCTCTTTGAGAAGTCATTGGGTCACGTGATGAATAACTCATCACCCATTATTATCTTGGCAGAAATGTGCCTGGTATTACCAACCTGCCCTTGATTAATCGACACCCCTCATAGGGGCTAGGGATATTGCTCAGTTGGTAAAGCGCTTGCCTCGCATGTACAAGATCCTGGGTTCAGTCCCCAGCACCACAAAAACAACAAACAAACAAACAACAAAAATGTGCTCCATAAATAAGAAGTGGGCTAGAAACCACCATGGGGAAGCATTCATTAATGTTTTATGCTGTATGGTAATTGTTTCCAGTGCAGAGTAGATATTGTAGCACTCAGTGCATTTCACATTGATGCCTCCATGATCATCCAGTCATTCCTTCAGCCAGCCACTCAGCAGTTACCTGTCATGAAGCAGGCAGGGCAACTGGATCCTGAGGTTATTTATAATAGTGAACAAAATAAACACAAATCCTCCCTCACTGAGCTTGCAGCCTATCCTGGGAAACCAATAACTAACATGCAAGCTCAATGCTGGGTTAGGAGGTTGAGTACTAGTGTATTAGAGGAAGGAACATTTATATGGATACATGAAAGATTAATAGGAATTAGCCAGAAGAAAGGACCTAGCAGTGGTATTTGGTAGCTTAGTGACGAATTTCATAAAGAGTGATATTTGTTTTCTCTTTAAATTTCTCTTCTAGGATGTTCAACTCTTCTCCACAATGAATGAGTGTCACTATGACAAACGCATGGACTTTTTTTATAATAGGAGCAACACTGACACTCCCGATGAGTGGACAGGAACAAAGCTTGTGATTGTTTTGTGTGTCGGAACATTTTTCTGCCTGTTCATTTTTTTTTCTAATTCTCTGGTCATCGCAGCAGTGATCAAAAACAGAAAGTTCCATTTCCCCTTCTACTACCTGTTGGCTAATTTAGCTGCTGCAGATTTCTTTGCTGGAATTGCCTATGTATTCCTGATGTTTAACACTGGCCCAGTTTCAAAAACTTTGACTGTCAACCGCTGGTTTCTCCGTCAGGGGCTTTTGGACACGAGCTTGACAGCTTCTCTGACCAACTTACTGGTCATTGCTGTGGAAAGGCACATGTCAATCATGAGGATGCGAGTCCACAGCAACCTGACCAAAAAGAGGGTGACACTGCTCATTCTGCTTGTGTGGGCCATCGCCATCTTCATGGGGGCAGTCCCCACACTGGGCTGGAATTGCCTCTGCAACATCTCTGCCTGCTCTTCCTTGGCCCCCATTTACAGCAGGAGTTACCTCATTTTCTGGACTGTGTCCAACCTTGTGGCCTTCTTCATCATGGTGGTGGTGTACCTGCGGATCTACATGTACGTCAAGAGGAAAACCAACGTCTTGTCTCCGCATACAAGTGGGTCCATCAGCCGCCGGAGGACGCCCATGAAGCTCATGAAGACAGTGATGACTGTCTTAGGTAAGAGGAACCAGGTGATCCATTATTCCCATTCATTTAGCAAGTTTTCACAGGGTTTCTACTTATGAGGCAGTTAGAAGGCAGCAGTGAAAAAGAACAGACATGAATCCCAACCCACCTGGAGTTTATACTATCATAGGGAAAGGTGAAAATAGCTATTCTAATGAAGGTAAGCAAAACAAGTCAGCCATAAAATGAGTTCCATATGGAAAAATAAGTCAGGGAAGAGATATAAAGAGTACTAGGCAAGTATAGTTTATAATTTTAAAGAAGCATTTTAAGGGACACCTAGATGATAGCTTTTAAGCAGAGATGTGAAAGTGTAACTAATGAGAACATTTTTTTTTTAAAAAAAGAGAGATATGGGAAGGTATGAGGGAGCAAACCACGTGGATGACTGGTGAAGAATTCCAGGTAGAAGACCTAGTAAACACAGGAGTCCAGATAGCAAAGAGGCTGGTGTGGCTGGAGAGGAGTGAGCAAGGGTCCGAGAGCTGATGGGGAGGAGGGGAGCCTCTCAACTTATGTAGGGCCATGTATTTACAAGGACTTTGGGATTTCTGAGTGACATGGGAAGCTATTGGAAGCTTTTGAACAAGGGGGTGACATGATCCAACTTCCTTTTGAGTGATGTTTCTCTGGCTGCTGTTTTTAGAAAATGCTGTGGGTCAAGGCAAGAAGCAGGAGAACTGTTTGAGAGGGTGTTTCAAAACTGGGGAGAATCACGGCAGCCAGAGGGATGTTGGAGATGATGGTCAGATCCTGGATAGCTTTTAAAGGTAGAAGTGATAGGTGTGCTGATGACAAAGGTGAAGGAAGAAGGGGAGGTGGGGAATGTCATTAACTAAGATGGGGAAAACATAAGTTGGGAGGGAAGGGCAGGAGTTTGGTTTTGGACATGTCCAATTTAGTATTCTATTAGACATCCAAGTGGAGGGTCAATCCTAGTGAGTAGGCAGTTGAACATATGAATCAGAAATCCAATATCTGGGTCTGGGCTTATATACCTTTGAGAGTTAATGGTGGGGAGGAAATGGTACTTTGAGCCACAAGACGACACCAGCTCACCATGAAAGTGAATGTTCATGTTGAAGAGAAGAAGGTCAAGGGAGGAGCCTTGGGGAACCCCAGTTTAGGGAGGTTAAGAAGCAAGGGGCAACCACCAGAGAAACTCCAGGAGATTAGGGTGGCTTAGAAGCCAAGAGAAGAAAGCAACCAGGGGAAGCAGGTACAAGCTGAGAGTCCCTGACCCAAAATGTTTGAATGTTTCAAACTTTTTATGTGTTGGTGCTCAAAAAGTTTCAGATTGTGCTGTAATATGGGTTTGGGATTTTCAGATTAGGCATGTTCAACCTGTATTATAAATCAATGCTCCTGAGAGGTGGAAGAAGACATGGTCTTACTGGGTTTAGCAGAGTGGTGGTTGTTTGGTGACATTGAGAGGATCGAATTTGGTATAGTTGAGAGCCTGATTAGAGTAAAACTAAGAAAGAAAAGGAGGAGGTGCTTAGGACAGGGAGCTTGGACAGCTCTGAAGAGTTTTGCTTTGAACAGTGAGTCCTGTCCCAAGAAGATGAATGCAGTATTCTGAACTTTTCCCTTTGTTTTGTTTCCATTGAGGGTAGCCTATTGCTCAAATTCCAGTCCCAGCTACAGGTAGATTCTGTGATGTGTGGGCACATAAAATATTTTGTGATTTTGGTTATCTTGTCTTCTAAGGCAGAGAGATCTTTGCTCACCATGAGTGGTGGCTACTGCAGTGGGGACCATTATTGAGAGGTCTAGCTGTATATTCCTGCCATGTGCCAAAAGGAAGGGACTGTACAATGACCTTCAGGGACTCCATTCATCCTAGAGGATGCAGAACACTGTGGTGTGGATGGAAACCATCACCATGTTTGCAGTCCTGATGCTACTTATAAGGTTTGGAGATCAGCAGATGCCCAGTGTGGTTGTCAACACAATTTCAAGCAGAGGGTTAATAAACATTTAA